ATATACGTCGGTTACGTTGTAGACATTTTCAATAAGTCTCAACGGTTGCAAGTCCGAGTGCAAGTCCGACCTGGGTTGAGCTGGGTGGATCTGGCCTGGCAAAAGCCACAAGAACAATGTAAGTGCACTTCAGAGTGATACAGTTAAGCTGTCTAGGGAACCTCATCGAAGTGCATTTTCTGCGAGAAATAAGTGTTGTGAGCTCTGAGCAAAGTATCATCGCCATGATCTCGAGAAAGAGGCCATAGATAATGATACAGGGCCGCCAGAAACTTCATCTTTTCCCGCATGTAAAGAAAATGAAAACTCAGCTATCCAAATTTTAGTACTGTGGTCAAGAACATTCAGCGGCCATTGCGAAAAGCCTTATATGGGATTCCGAGCCTCCCTCTCTCATAAAGGGAGGTTTAATTAGACATATCGGGACTCTGTGGGTGTCTCTCTGCTGTTGCTGCAACACAACAGTGCGTACCAGTGTGATCTCCCTGTCGGTGTCTCTCTGCTGTTGCTGCCACCCGACAAGGTGTGTCAGTGTGATCTCCTTGTGGGTGTTAGAGTGTGTCAGCGCGATCTCCTTGTGGGTGTCACTCTGCTGTTGCTGCCACCCGGCAGGTTGTGCCAGTGTGATCTCCTTGTGGGTGTCTGGTGTTGCTGCCACCCGACAGGGCGTGTCAGTGTGATCTCCTTGTGGGTGTTAGAGTGTGTCAGCGCGATCTCCTTGTGGGTGTCACTCTGCTGTTGCTGCCACCCGGCAGGTTGTGCCAGTGTGATCTCCTTGTGGGTGTCTGCTGTTGCTGCCACCCGACAGGTTGTGCCAGTGTGATCTCCTTGTGGGTGTCTGGTATTGCTGCCACCCGACAGGGTGTGCCAGTGTGATCTTCTTGTGGGTGTCTGGTGTTGCTGCCACCCGACAGGGTGTGCCAGTGTGATCTTCTTGTGGGCGTTAGAGTGTGTCAGCGCGATCTCCTTGTGGGTGTCACTCTGCTGTTGCTGCCACCCGACAGGGTGTGCCAGTGGGATCTCCTTGTGGGTGCCTCTCTGCTGTTGTTGCCACTTGACAGGGTGTGTCAATGTGATCTCCTCGTGGGTGTCAGAGTGTGTCAACGCGATCTCGTTGTGGGTGTCTCTCTGCTGTTGCTGCCACACGACAGTGCGTGCCAGCGTGATCTCTGCTGTTGTAGCAATGCTATTTGATTGGGTCATTCGCGCTCTGGTATGCTTACTTGTTGTATGATGTTCATGTAAACTGAGTTAATCTTATGCACTTGGAAATCTCGTTCGCAGATGATCGAAGAACAAGTCTTTGCAGAATCCGTCAGGTCTTCTTGGCAAAAAGATCATGACATCGGGCACGGTTGAGAAGTTGGCTATACGCTATTCCTTACATTGGGAAATAACACAACTAGATCGATGACTGCAACACGCATTGGGGGCCATATAATTGCGTGGGTGTGAAAATTATGCAGTTGAATCACACACTCACCTCCTACTCCTACGGTGTGGCTGCGTGGGCATGAGGATTGGACAGCCTCAAACTTTTATCACTGAATGTGCACATGCCGTGAAAGACAAGAGTTGGGACTTCAGCATGGGCCAAAGACTGCATATCTGGATTCCGTGTCAGCCATGTACGTTGGTCAGGCCTACGGATTTGCAACATTGCACCGGTTCGGTGATAGCACACATGACGGGAGTGTTCCGCATTTGTATGGGGTTTTGAACCTAAATAGCCATTTTGAAGATCATTCGGTGCATTTCACAGCCCAGCCCTTCTTAAGACATAAACCCATCTAGTTTTTGAGCTACATGCTCACGACGATGTACTTTTTTCGAAGAGAACACTCCAAGGTTACCTAGGCATGGCTCCATGATAACGTTATTCAAATGTTGCCATTGCATTGGCTATACGACGATCAAGGTCAAAACAACGTATCTGTCTTTATTTTTTGGCGTCTGTGAGCACGGCATTCAGATATAGCCGCTGTCACTTGGCTCTCAACCCATGTTGTGCAAGGTACGATAACGTAATCAAACTCTGACGCATTGAAAAGCACATTCATTAAACAGAAATTGCGTTGTCAGGAAGTCTTTTCCACTGTAAGGCATGCAATGGAATACGTAACTTTGTTTCATTACATCTAATGCTTGCTTCCATATCTCCAAATGTCGAGCTTTTCCTCGAATCACGACCATTTCAACGGATGCCAGACCCTTATAAGCTTAAGGCATGCAGCGACACATACCATGAAGTTCAGACGTCGCAGCGACGCCCCGCGCTGCAGCGTCGCGCGATGCAGGCGCGCCGGTGATGACTAGGCACGTTGGCTGACGCCGGCACCCAAGCATCTTGGTCTGGCGTCCACACAGTCCCAAACACTCGCACGGCTACGTGTATTCTCTGCGCGCGCTGTAATGACGTGTTTTGCGTGCTGTGCGCTTTCAAACGATACGTTCGAGCTGTTTTCACAAGTGCGTCGTGTTTGTGAGTGTTCACTGTCGTGACTCTCGCCTCGCTTGCGACCCAGCTTGCAGTCGCGCTCTATCCTGCGAGCGAAGCCCTCCTGACGAAACATAAGCTCTCACCGACACGTAGTTGCCGTTGACAAACGACTATGCGATTATGCCAGCGTTATCACTGAGGACTGAGCCAGATGGCGGCCGGGACAGGCAGCCTAAACACACAGCGACAGCCATTCCAACTCAACAGACAAACAAGCAGCTCAGCCGCACCAAAGCGAGCTTGCGTGACGCCTGTCCCATAGCGCGTGGCATGACTGCTAATCTTGACGAGGCTGGCAGCTTAAGCGAGTCAGCAAACATGCTGTTCAAGAACGTAATTACGTGATAAAGAGCGAGGATGACATTGAGCCTATAATGGCACATGAAATGCGCTTCTCCACTCACGTATGGAATTGATCAACATCCACCGCACCTCCGCAAGACGACACTCGTCTCCGCGCTGACATCTGTCGGCGCATGGATGTACTCCTATGTTCGTCGCAGGACCTCACACACGCTGTGTCCATGGCGTGCCTCGTCGCAGCGCGTGAGCACACAGCGCGTGACAAACACGTGTTGACACTGGCCGTGGCCTAGTCGCTGACACCTAACCCGACCCCTCCGCGTCTCCGTAGGACGTCGTACGTGTCGGTGCTGATCATCGTGGCGTTCAGCCTGGAGCGGTACCTGGCCATCTGTCACCCGCTGCTGTCGTACACGATGGCCGGCCTACGCAGGGCCTGTCGCATCATAGCCGCCATCTGGCTGGTCTCCCTACTGGCCGCCGCGCCGTTCGCCGTCTACACCGACGTCCACTACATCGAGTTCCCCAAGGGTGAGTTTGAGACGCAGTAGGGATCCCCTATCTCCTGCTCCGAGGGAGCGAGCGGTGAAAAGGTCATGGTGGCACTGTTTAAAGTTTGCTGATGATGCGAGGTGAGGTAAGGACGACGAGGGCTCCCTATTTCCGGGTCCAGAATACGATGAGTGGCCACAGGGCAACAAGGTCCAACACCTCTAGTTATCCAAGAACTTCTCGCGAGGAGCAAACGGATTCAATGCCTCTGAGTTCCTCAGTGGGGAGTATGTCTGCGCCTACTTTCACAAATCTCTGGACATTGTGAGTTTAGGATCATGTTCTGGTTTGCGTCGTGACGTAAATCCCTCTACGACGAATGGTCGTGGGGACAACGCTAAACCAGGCAATTGATGCATGGCGAATTGCTATATCACGCGTCGACAATTGGCAATGGTGTATTCGCTGCCATATCTTGGTGGCAGCTCCTGCCATCTAACTAGCAATTCTAAGATGGTGTCAAGGAACTTTTCGTTTTATGCCGGGTCCGTTTATCCAACTACTATATTTGCCCCATTGAGTTATGGGCTTTCCCTCACAATACACTTACAGTTGTCTCATACGTGCACCGGTCCTACCACCACTTTTTGTAGGTGCTGTGTCTGAGTTAGAGCGGTTCAATGCATGCGGTGATAAACATGCAAGATAAAATGCATAGTAATGCATAGCAATGCAAAGTAATAGGTATTCAACGCATGTGTGCGGAGTCATTTGTCTGCTGTACATTCCTTCCTTGTCTTTTTCGTAATGCATTGCCCCGTTTGCTTCTGCTAGCTTAGGAAGTGGTAGCTATCCTCCTATTGTCGCTCTCACCCCCACCTAAAATTATCCAGGGTATTTGATTCCTGATTCATCTAGTCTGCTCCTAAATGCGTCTTCTTTTGCGCGCAGATGCTACGCAGTTATCGATATACGGAGACTTAAGGCATCCATCAACAACGGTTACGCAGTCTGGATGCACTGTATTTGAACGGAAATGCTGTTTTTGTATAATCGTGTTAAATAAGAATACTTGTGAATATTTCAATGCTGCAAAGCAATTAAAAACAATCCGTGCTTAAATCGCCGGCCGGTGATGGGCAAAATCTGCGCTGTGATGCTGTTGAAGCGATCATAGAAGCATTTACTGATAGCTGGCTTCAGATGATGCAGCACTACATTTATGGGATCTTAATTGGGCGGTTGCAGTCAGACGAAAATCTGAATGCTTTCTCCGTTTATCTGCGGGGAA